TTAGGGATAGGCTCGACACGCTGATTGAAAAGAACAGAAATCATAACGAACACGTGTGATAGTTTTTGAAACACCCCTTGTCATGTCTAAACTCTCCTAAATAAAAGGTGATTCTTAATACACTTCTATCAAAATTTAGTTTCTTAGGTCTAATTTTTAAACGTATTAGCATTAAATATTGGGTTATCTTTATAATCACCCTATAGTTTCCAAAACTTGTTTTTATCAACATTTCCGCGCCGAACTATGTTTTCCATTTCTGTCAGTCGATGTTCACAATATTAAAGAAAACTTGGAAACACTAGGTTTGGAAAATTATGGCTTTATTTTACTTTCTACGCCTAATGCTTGTTAATAAAATAGCTTCAAATTTAGGTGTATTTATTAATATACTTTAAGCTTAAGAAGTTCTACCACGAATCTGTTATATGAAAAAAGAAATCAAGCCAATCCAAGAACCGATTCTGAATATGTGCAACATTTATTACAATAAATACACGTACAATAATAAAATATTTTACAGCCACGAGAATCTAGTACCAAAACTTGTTTAACATGAACATAAAGCTATTTTCTTCAGCTACTATCAACTATATATATAATAAAGTCAGGTTATACATATATTAAATTAAAAGTAATTACCAAAATAACGGAATAAATCAAGTAGTTGCAAACTAGCAATGGTCAAAACTAAGTGTGTTTTCAGGCCAGAAATGTACATTAAAGAACTAAACTATTTTGCACCTGATATACATAAATTAAACAAGTAGATATTAACAACCATTTTATCTTACGTTGAAACGAAAAGGAGAATCAAATGGTGACAAAGAAACACTTGTTCATTACAGCCTTGAAAAGACTTAAAATGAAAATTAAACTTTACATTCAGGTAGGTCTTTGAAGAGGTTATTCTACCCGTCAATATAGGAATGGTAAGGAACTTTCAACTTTGTCCTAGATACTAACTTTCAAACTGGAGCATTTTGATTGAGAGACATTATAAAGTGTACATTATGTTTTAGTTCTTATGTGTTGTTTCTCGACAAGTACAAATGCTAAACATGTCTCCCAAAAAACTCTCAGAATCAACAATCTGTTTTATCTTAACCATTTTAACTACAGTTTCTTAAACTGTTGTAATATTAATTGTAGCCATATGTTTTGGTACTCTGTATTACATCAATGTTACTTTACAAAAACAGATATTTAGAACAAGTTTACCTAACCAATTTCATATTTTTTTTCATGAATTGTGTTTTGAAGATTCCTGTTTCACGATATGGAGGTCTTTATGTCTATATTTCTAGAATTGTAGTGTTAATTATTAAATAAAAAACCTATTTTCTCATTTTAACGCTTAATGTCTTAACAGTTGTATCTAGTAGCATTTTAAATATAAAAAAGTCTATTATGCAACAAGAGCTAAGTAATACAACTGACAAAGCTACATGCTACATTAAATTCACATATTGCTTTCCATCAAAAGCATCTTTCAGTTATAAAGTTGCCCGGCTTTGAACTTCGAAACGGTGAAAGCTAGTCGGAATGTTATTTACTTTTGGGGTCATCTTGTTTACTCACGGCAACAAGCCAACATAACTATTTTCAGTATACTCCAGTTATCTTTTCTACAGAAAAACACAGATGTTCTGTTGTACCAGTAAGCTAGTATTAGCTCATCACAGACAAAACAGGTGTTCTGTTGTACTAGTATGTTACCATTAGCTCGTCACAGACGAAAAG